ATAAGGTGGTTGATCGGATTCGACATATTGATATTCCAGACCGAGGTTGATCGGGCCAGTCACAGGTGTTTGTGGTTAAGCATTAGCAGTCGACTGTTACTGTATGTAGATTCGGGAGCTGAAGGAAGCCTTATCCTGTCAGCACAATAAGGGTTCTTCTCCTAGTTTGCCTCCTATAGCCATGCTATCTCTGAAAATTCGGTCATTGAATGAGTTCCCTTGAAAGAATATATAATATCTTCTCCAGTAGAGGATTATCGGCAACCGCATATGATCCATGATTGAGTCCTGGGAAGGAATCCATGTTTTCAGGGTGTGATCCGCTTCAGGAAGAGAGGAATTCGGGTTCCCGGTATATCGGGCCATTTCGGGTTTTGCCAAGGTTGGCAAGGCAGCGTATCGACTAGGTCTTCCGGAGGAGCTCAGTCAGATTCATAGCACTTCATATGTCTTGCAGTTGCAAAAGTGCATGTAGGGCGAGGACGTCGTGGCATCATTGAGTGATCTTTAGGACGATGAGCGCCTGAACTACGTCGAAGAGGCCGGTGGCCGTCTTGGAACGAGAGGTAAGGTTCTACGTAGCAGGGGGTACCTTTGGTAAAGGTACAAGTGGCAGCATCGGAAGGGATCCGAGTAGGTTTGGGAGCCGGAGGCTGGAGTGCAAAAGCATTATCTGGATTTGTCCACTACAGCAGGCTTTGAGGATGAAGCCTAGTTCAAGTGGGGGAGAGTTGCAACATCCCGATTTCTGAGAATGAGATTTTGAGGATTTCAAGCAAATAAAGAATCCTACTCGACGACTTGGAGGCCCCAACTCGTCGTGTAGAGATTAGTCAGTCCGCGTGTTTCTTGAGGTATACTCGACGAGTTGGAGGACCCCGACTCGACGAGTAGGAGCTGGAAAATGAAACCCTAAGTTTTAGGGTTTGCACCCTATTTAAAGGACCTTAAGTCCTTTCCTCCAGCCCCTTACCACCTCTTGACGGCCAAAAGAAACCCTAATCAGTCTAGACCATTGTTCTTGAGTGTTGTGAGATTTAAAAGAGTGATTTGGTGCATTTTGTGAAGAAGGCTTGAAGTCTAAGGAGCTTGGAGCAAAGAGAAGCTTGTGGATCTGACTCTACTTCATCTTGGCATCATTCTGAAGGTAACAAGTTGTTACCTTGACTTATCTCTAGCTAGATCTTTTCATGTTTAGGTTTAGGGCCATTTTTAGCACATTTGGAAGTCATTTCGGGTATTGGGCATGATCTGAAGTTGTAACTTCAGATCTGGACTCCTCTTGGTCCCTATAGCCATAAAGTTATCAGATTTAGCAAGCATTGGCCCTTCCCTTTGGGTTAAACCTTTCTCTTAGCTTGGTTTTGGCATTTAGGACCATGCATGTATGTAAAGTTTGCAACTTTACGTGGAAACCATGACCTACGAGGTTAGATCTGCAATATGGAGCCTTGGGATGGCTTAAAAACGTATGAATGAGAAATGGACTGAAGGGACTCGACGAGTCGCTTAGCCGACTCGACGAGTCGGATGAAGATTGCTTGTATTGATTTTGCATGAACTCGGCGAGTCAGTAAGAGGACTCGACGAGTCAGTTAGGGTTTTTCCCGACATTTGGACATGCATGAACTCGACGAGTTGGTTGGAAACTCGGCGAGTCAATTAGGGTTTTTATGATTTCCTGAGTTCTTAATGAACTCGACGAGTTGCTAGCTGCACTCGACGAGATGGTTCAACATGGACTGTTGACTTTGACTTTGACCAAGGGGTTGACCTGTTGGACTTTTGTGGGTATTTTGGTAATTTGGGGTCTGATGGACTTGGTCCATTGTGGTTATAGGTGGTTGGGTTCGTGACGGTGATTCGGGAGTTTGATCTTATCACTACAGTTCGACATCGTGAGGTGAGTTCTTCGCACTCTATCAACAGGGTCTAAGGCACCAAGGCCGGCCCTTTATGATTTGTATCCTGGTTATAGGATGGTTGCTATGTTAGTGATCTGTTAGATCGATATCCTGGTTATAGGATTATGCCATGTTAGTTATCTGTTAGATCGGTATCCTGGTTATAAGATGGTTGATATGTTAGTGATCTGTTAGATCGGTATCCTGGTTATAGGATGGTTGTTATGTTAGTGATCTGTTAGATCGGTATCCTGGTTATAGGTTGGTTGCTATGTTAGTGATCGGTTAGATCGGTATCCTGGTTATAGGATGGCTGCCATGTCAGTGATCTGTTAGATCTGTATGAGTATCCGTACATGCTAGCTAGCGTATGATATTTATGTGCACATGATTGTTTGATTGGGGGTTGGTTGAGGTAGGTCCTGCTTTGTGTTGTAGGCCAACATACCCAGAGCGGACCGGATAGACTGCAGACCCGGTTAGGGCATACTAGTCAGGCCGAAGGTCCGACGAGCGGTCCAGATAGGCTGAAGGCCCTGAGAGGCGGTCCAGACGTGCCGAAGGCGCGGAGAGCGGTCCAGATAGACTGAAGGCCTGCGAGGCGGTCCAGTCAGGCTGATGGCTCATTATACATGTTGTGTTTGTTTATATGATATGGTTATATCTATATGGCGTTGGTATTTTGGGGGAACTCACTAAGCTTCGGGCTTACAGTTGTTGATTTTGTTTCAGGTACTTCTGATGATCGCGGCAAGGCGAAGGCGTGATCGTGCACCTCCTTATGTTTTCATGATTTGATTCTGGGATACTCTGACACTATACTATTTTGAAAACAAGTTTTGTAATAATCATTGGTTTTGAAATGTTTTAAAAAGTTTAAATTTGGCATGATTTTTATGGATGTTAAATTTCGTGTCATGTCGTGTTTGTCATTTTTTAATTCGTTCGTTTTCGTGTTAGATAAAGAACACGACATCGTGTCGTGTCGTGTTCGTGTTGCATAAAACTTTGTCGTGTCGTGTCGTGTCGTGTTAGACAGAAACACGAAACGATAGCACGATTTGCCACCCCTACAAAGAACTCAAAAATGAAGTGGTGTGGGACCCTCAAGGATACAATTTTCCATATTTTTAATCAAATGTTCAATTTTATAAATGTTGTTGATACGATTGTGAAAGGCAACCTCCTAAGTTCCAAGCCATGTTCGGGTCCTGAATGCAATGGGTAGATTCCAAAAAAGGATAATGGATGTGAAAAGAGGTTTAGATGCGAAAAGGATGTTAGATGCAAAAATGATGTTGATTGTGAATGGGCTCATGGATGCGAAAGGGGTGATGGATGTGAATGGGCTCATGGATGCGAAAGAATTGATGAGTGTGAAAGTTGTTTAGGATGCGAAAGTAAGTATTGTTGCGACTGGAGGCGATCGATCGCAATCTATCACATTCACTAGAAGTTATCTGATTTGAACATTGGGATAAGAGGCGCTATGAACCGAGAAGTACAACCGGATGTGAACGATTGATAGTTGCGAACGGTTGATAGTTGCGAACGTCCAATGGATGTGAACGTTCTTTGATTGCGATTGTGATTCTCATGCTTGGATGTGAATCTCGCAATGGGTTCAAGTGCGATGCGAGTTTCGGAGTGCTGTCAGTTGCAAACGAAAGCCACTTCTGACCAGTTGCGAATCTCGGAACCCATTGGACTCTTATTGGTTATGGTGGGTTGTTCTTGACATGTTGGTTCCAATGGGTTGTTGCTGACATGTTGGTTCCAATGGGTTGTTGCTGACATGTTGGTTCCAAAGGGTTGGTACAAGTTGTTGGGTGTGAAAGCTACGTGGGACCAATGGTACAAGGGATTTACATGGCTTATTGTATGGACTTAAAGCTGGATGATTCTAGAGACACTTTTAAGTTATTTTTAGCCTTTATTTTTATAGTTTCTTTTTTATTAATAGGTTCCTTTTATTTTATTAGTTTCCTTTTATTTTATAGCCATTGTAAGGGCATAAGGTTATAAATAGTCCCTTTTGTCAAACGTTATAAAGCATTGTCGAATTTTGAATTAAGGAGCTTTTGTGTTCTTTTGAGTTGCTTGCTCGCCCTTTGTCAATTCTAGGATGCGTATTCTAGATTGATTCGAATTCAAATTAATAGGTCTTGATTTGTCTTCACCGATATTCAATCTATAGGTCTAGATTGTTTATCACATCTATCTTTTCTTGTTTTTTGTCGATTAAGTTATCATTGTTCTTGTTTTCTTATCATATTCTTGATATTCAAGATTGATTGTCATCACGTTGTCAACTTCTAGTTTGTATGACATCACTTCAGTTGAGCTTAATCTAAAGGTCTTTGTATTTGCAAGCAAATCAATAACGATACTTAGACTTGAACCATTTTACTTGCAGATAATTATTTGAATCGTGGTTGATGTTTTTAATTTCGCATTGTCATTTTGTTTGGGATACTACAAATTATACTCAAAAAACATATAGCTCTAAAAACAACCGGGAGACGGATTTTTTTAAAACAACATTGTAATTGGGGCTAAGAATTAAGAAGGGAAGGATGAGCGGTTGGCAAGGGCTCTTCAGCATCGGCATCGCTATTAACAATCGCCATTCGCCAGCATCATCATCGGTGTGTGTTTTAGAAATCATAAATAGGGTTCTTCAACACCGGTGTATTCTTTATAGAATTGAGCAAGGGATCTCCAACATTGGTGACAACATGTGGGTCAACCATCTTCACCTTCTCTAGCATCATAATTTTCATCATCGTTTTAAGTATTGGTTTCGTCTTCTATCTAAGCATAACTAACGAGGGATTCCAGCATCGTCATGAGACAAAAATCAAGTAGGAGAAAGTACGATGTCATAATTGGTTGCGTCTAAGTGTTCACAAAAGATGACGATGGATGGGATGAGACAACGGCCATTGAGAGGGGATTAAGGTTAGGTAATTATATTTTTATAATAAATATTAATACAAATCAAAATGAATTAATTAAAAATCTATTCAGAGCTAGAATAGTAATTTCAAAACAAACTTCTAACAAAATAAAATCACATGGACCAACCACTAAGAACCATGCAAAAAAAAAAAGATACATACAAATTTAAGAAACCATAAGGACCATTTATGTAATTTTGTCTTGTTAAAATTATCTAAAAAAAAAACAAACTTCACTCTTTTGGAGAATACCTAGACCATAATTTCCTGGATCATTTTAGTCACCCATCATGAACACCAAGTTAAATGGTGTTTGAGAAACCATATGGAATCAAACTCTTTAAAACATTATAACATTATTCGATCTATGATGATGAGTCAAACCGATCTTCCATCCTAATTTTCATGGTCTTTTTACAACTTCTATCGTTACATATCCAATCAAAACTCATACAACCAACAACAACCAGAAGTCGATGCACAAACAACTCAAAAATGAAGCAGTGTGGGACCCTCAAGGATACAATTTACCATATTTTTAATCAAATGTTCAATTTTTTAAATGTCGCTCCCTTCCATCCTTAAAAGTCTCATATTCGTTTCTCCTCACATCAATACTTGGTATATGCAGCTTCAATCTTATAATCCCACCATTATTATATCTCCTCAAAATCCTTTGTGTATAGATCCTTGGTGTCAATAAAGAATAAAAGAATATCCTCTTGAATCTCATTAAACAATCTCAAAATCTAGTTTTTTATGATACAAATCCTCTAAGAAAATACATAAATAAAATCCCGATAATCTTGTATGTGAAGTCAAGTGAAGTGATGCAATCTCAAAACAAAACCATGTGTTCTTACTTCTTATTAAAATCTCAACAACATAATCATACATATAACCAGTAACCACAATCTCCGTCTCATCATATCTGAATACACAACCCCAAACTCAACCACTGATTTAAACCTCTAAATAATTCTCGGGCCTCCTGTTTTCTCTCTCTGTTATTTATTTACCTAAATAAGGTAAAAAAATAATATTTTTTTTTTTTAAAAAAAGATCAAGAGCTCACCTTAGTAGTAATCATCAGCCACACGATGATTCGAGTAGACAGGTGAGAATGATTCTCCACGCATCTGAATAACATTCGGATTATATTAATAAAAGTTTATAATAAAAAATAAATATATCTTTTTCTTAATAAAAAAATAAAAAAAAAATAGTACATCTGATCGTGAAGGAATGTAGTCTCGTGACTCACGATCTCTGCCAAATCTAGGGTACAGCTCTTCTGGATCTTCATTGCTCATCTCCACTGATAAATTAGAAATTTGGAGGGAAAAGTTCGGATAAATTATCAAAAAATTATAAAATTATAATAAAAAAAAGAGTAAATTACACAAATGGTCCCTATGGTTTGGGGTAATTTGCGCATTTGGTCCCTAACTTATTTTTTTTACCTCGGAAGGTCCCTACTATTTTTTTTGTTACGCGTTTGGTCCCTACTGTTTGTTTTTGTTACGCGCTTGGTCCCTGTCTTGCCTAAAAAGACTATTACTATTTTTTTTGTTACGCGTTTGGTCCCTACTGTTTGTTTTTGTTACGCGCTTGGTCCCTGTCTTACCTAAAAAGACTATTACTATTTTTTTGTTACGCGTTTGGTCCCTATTGTTTGTTTTTGTTACGCGTTTGGTCCCTGTCTTACCTAAAAAGACTATTACTATTTTTTTTTGTTACGCGTTTGGTCCCTACTGTTTGTTTTTGTTACGCGTTTGGTCCCTGTCTTACCTAAAAAGACTATTACTATTTTTTTTTTGTTACGCGTTTGGTCTCTACTGTTTGTTTTTGTTACGCGTTTGGACTTTGTCTTACCTAAAAAGACTATTATTTAAGTAGGAAAAAATGGTGGGGTAGTTATGGTAAGGTGAGGGGAGTGGGGTTAGGGTGTGTTTATTTTAATAAATTAAAAATCAAGGGCAAAATAGACTTTTTAGATAAGACAGGGACCAATCCTGTAACAAAAACAAACAGTAGGGACCTTCTGAGTTAAAAAAATAAGTTAGGGACCAAACGTGCAAATTACCTTAAACCATAGGGACCATTCATGTAATTTACTCTAAAAAAAATTTGATACCTCTTCTGTATCCTCCATTGGAAGTATTCTTGTCATATACTCCATGAGAATGGCTTGGATTACTTCCATTGTATCCGGAACGGGACCCACGTGCCACCCTAGCAAATGCGTATATTATCAGAGAAATGAATCAATTTTTCTACGGTTTATTACAAAAAAACAAATTATAGAAATTAATCAATTTTCCCATAATCTGTTATTTCCTGTTAAAATATAAAAAATGTCTTTTTTTGTTTGTTTGGGCAAAATGTTAAATAATCGGGATTTTTCTGTGCAAAAAAAATTAAGGCTTTATCAAAAAAATTCCCAAAATATTGGGACTTGTCTGCATAAAACCATAATTTTAATCACTAGTACTTTATTATTATTTTTTTCTTCCAATAAAACCATAAAAGTTTGATATATTTTTTTCCAAATTAACCATTTTTGACATATTATATCAGGTTTCAATGGTAATTTTCCAAAAATGAGAAAAAGTGTGAAACTTTTTGGTTTTACTAAAAAAAATAAAGTATAAGAGATTAAACCGCAAAACTGCCAGTTTTTTCCATAATTTCCAATTTTAATTTTTAGTGTAAAATCTTTATTTTCGAATGGATAAATGATGTAAGAATAAAGATTTCATCGGTAATTTTCCAAAACTGAAACTTTTTGGTTTTACTGAAAAACTAGAGTATAAGTGGTTAAACTGCAAAATTGCCAAAAATATAATGTTTTCTTTTTCATAATTTCCAATTTAATTTTTAGTGTAAAATCTTTTTCTTTAATGGATAAATGATGTAAGGATAAAGATTTCACTGGTAATTTTCCAAAATTGAAAAAAAAAAAAAAAAAAAAAAAAAAAAAAAAAAAAAAAGCATGAAACTTTTTTGTTTTACTGAAAAAATAAAGTACAAGTTGTTAAACCAAAAAATTGCCTAAATTTAATGGTTTTTTTGTAATTTCCAATATAACTTATATGTAAAATCTGTTATTTTCGAATGGATAAATGATGCAAGAATGAAGTCTTGTTTTTTTTACTGAATAAACTGTCTGATTGGTTGGTTGCAAATAAAAAAATAATAAAAAACCATAATTAAAATCTTGAAAAAAAAAAAAATTTAAAAAAGACAAACCTTGTAGGCTCATTTCCATAAATCCGATCATTATACACCAAATCAGAACTATTTCCATACTCAAAATCTGATCTTGATTGCCTCCTATAACGAGGATGATGTTCCTCCTACAAACATACCATTGTGTGAACAGGGGTATAATGGGAATAAAACAAAATATTAAAAAAAAAAATTGACTTACAATTGAAGAGTAAGGTCGCTTTAAAGTGGAACTAAAGTTTCGTGTCCCACCACCATTGAATCTTGATGGATGATCTACATACATATATCTTCTTCCATCATCATCATCATCCTCATCATCATCATCATCATTATAAAGATGTGAATTTCTACCAGAAACTCTAGAAATAGTTCTAGAAGAATCTTCCATGTATCCAGATCCACGTGAAGAATAAGAATCTCTATACACTTGTCTCTCATTTGAAGAAGATATTCCCATGTTTTGCCTTGTGTAATCTGCTTTAAAGTTGCTCCTTTCATAATCTAAAAAATAAAAATAAAAATATATTTTTTTTCATTAGATTGAAGCTTATCAATTTCATTTCATTTAGTTTTATAATCATGGATAACAAACAACCATACATGATAATCAAATGTTATGATGCATTCCATTCCTTTGTGATTCCACTCCAGTGTTTGGTATGATGGAATGGAATCACAAAGGAATGGAATGAACCATGTCTAAAACTATAAATAGAAAACTAAATAAACTAAACAGATAAATAAATAAATAAATAAAATATTATTCTATAACATATACCTGGTGATCTTCGTTTTATAGATCTATCTGTAGATGTATATGGTCTTCTGTTAGAAGTTCTATCAGAAACAGACACATCATATCCCCGGTCAACTCGGTCAACTCGAGAGTCAAATGACCTTCTACGCCCTCCTCCTTCATATGGACTTCTATCCCGAATGCTTCTTCTACCTCTGTCTGTGAACCTATGAGAATCCATACGATTAGAACCACTACCACCACCACCACCACCACCAGCCTCCCATGAGCCACCCTTGTAGCTTCCATAACCATCTGCTCCAACTGTGTAACCTCCTCTTGCATATTTAGCAGATTTGCCTCGCTGGCGAGGTCTAGATAGCCTTGCTCTAACTTTCACCTAAACAAATTGGAAATTACTATTTTGAAAAAACTTTATTTGGATCTTTTAAGTTATAGAATAATTAAGTTTATAGATCTCGTTGATTACAAAATATGGATTAAGTTTATATTGGTAATTGGTATATTTCTTTTTTGAGTAATTAAGGGAAAATTACAGAAAGTGAGAAAACCATTATATTTTTGGTAATCTTGTGGTTTAACTCATAAAAGACCTTATATTTTATGTTTTTTCAAGATTAAACCTCAAATTTATTTATTTTGTCTGAAAAAGACCTTGTACCTTTTCATTTTTTTTCCAAAAGAAATTGTAAAATGTGAGGTTTTTTTCGAGAAAAAGTAAAAGAGTTGAGGGTTTATTTGGAAGCAGTTAGAAGGTTGAGGGTTTTTTTCAAAAAAAAAAAAACAAAGTTGAGGGTTTTTTCCGAGAAAATGAAAAAATAAAATCCCTTATATTTTTTTTTACAATCAAATCATAAAGGTTTCAGATTTTTTTCCCAAATTAACCATTTTTTATAGAAGGTCAGATTGTTGATTTGGAAAATTACTAGTGAAATCTGATATAACAAAAACTGAAAGATGATATAGAATGTCAAAATAGTTAATTTAATAAATTGTATAAAACTATAAAACTTTAAGTATTAGTGGTTAAACAGGAAAACCATCCAAAATATTATGTTTTTATTTTTGTAATCTGATATTTACTTAATTCAGAAAGAAAACCTTAGATGAGAAATTCAGCAAAGGAGTCTTTCCCCCATTATGTCATGACTTTTTACAAAATTACCCTTGTTTATAACATGACTTAAATGAGTAAGAAGTAACAAACCTTCTTGTTTCTGAAAACAAGCTCTGAATCATTAATCCCATCAACACAAGAAACTGCACATTCATGTGTGCTGAATGTTATAAAACCAAAATCATCTCTTTTAGCAGCAGGCATATTTCTAGCAAGTTCAACCTTTTCAATTTTCCCAAATTGTTTTAAATGATCTTTTATAATATCCTCTTCCCATGAAGGAGGTAATCCATCAACAAACACAGTCCTCACCTGTATTTCCAATTATAAACTTCAACAAATCATCATGAAAAGATTCATAAAATGTGTTGAAAATTTTACCTGTGCCATGATTTCATCATCAGGTTCAATAAATGTGTCAGCAAAAGCAACCCTAGCTGTTCTATCAGTTCCAAATATGACATCTCTTTTCTGCAAACGTCTGCAAGCTTCTAATGCATCTGCTCTTGATGGAAAATCCAAGAAAGCAAACCCTCGATTCATTCCTTCATTTTTCACATCTTCAACTAATGTCAACTCTTCAAATTTGTCTATCCCATATCGCACTAGCTTTTCCTTCAACTGAAAAAAGTTAAAACTCAGTTATTATAATCCAAAAGTCAAAAGCTAAATCAACAACACCCAAAATCCCATAATGAAATGAGATAAAGGACTATAAAGCACAAAAGCAAAATAAAGAATCCAAATGAATATAAAAGAAACAGAACATTCAAATTTCAACATACCATATCTTTTGACCATGTCTTGCAAATGTTACCAACAAACAAAGTGTCACTATCTTGACTTGGAGCGACTCCACATTGCTTTCCATTAATCTGAAATTATGTTATATTGTTATGTATCAAAGATTCAATTCTTGATTGTATAAAAAGAAAGAAAGGAAGAAAAAGATGAATGAATAGTTAAATAGTAAATACCATTGGTCTTTTGAGCTCATTAAGAGCACGTCTAGCTTGTTCAACAGTTGCAAACCTTATGAAAGCAAAGCCTTTATTTTTATTAGTCATTGGATTCATCAAGAGTCTCACTTCGGTAATATCACCCACTTGACTAAAAACATCTCTAAGATCAACTTCATTTGTATCACGATCTAATCCACCAACAAATACTTCTAATTCTTTCTTCTTTTGTCTCTCTCTAACCACATCATGGCGTTCTTTCTTGTAACTATCTTGATCCATACCATGTTCATCATAGAAATTATCCTCGCTTAACTCTTCCTCATCAACATTTTCATCATGTTCTGTTATATATTGTCCCCCAAATCTATCTCCATGAGCTTCTTCGGCTCCTTGTCCAGCCCATTCATCTTCTTCTACCTCATAAGAGGGATTTTTGTATTCAATCTGCAGGCTTTCTTGTTTTTCCACTGCGTATTCTTCATCTTCCTTTTCATCTGATAGATAAACGGAGCAAGATTGTGAAATCGAGAACAAACAGTTCAGAATCATGATGAGAAACAAAAGATTGCTATTATGAATCAACCTATGAACACCAAAGATCACTCACTCCACGTAATTGTATATATTAATGGAGCCGCTAATATTGAATCAAAATTCTGATAGTCTTGTAGCTGATAAATTCAAAAAGCCTAGTCTATAAGGAGTTCAGAATTGAGCATTTAATGGATAAAACATACTAAATTCGGAAAGAAGAAAAAAAGAAGCTGCGGCCCGTTTAATTTGAACCGAATTCAACGAATTCGTAATTGAAGGTTAAGAATTACGCTCGTGAATTGAGTTGTAACAAAATTCATTGCTAGGGTTTTAATTAAAAACCCCTACGTATAATTATGAACAATTTTCCCTACACAGAACCAAAAAGGAATACAGATAGTACCAGTAGGAGACAGGTAACGTCTTGTGGAGTCTTCAACTCTATGGAGAAGTCGTTTCTTAAAAGGAGTCATCGATGGTCTTGGCGGCGACGACGACGACGGCGGCGGCGGCTGTTGCATTAATTTGGGGAAATTGAAGGTTAATTGATGATGAGAAAAGGGGGGTAAAAGATTATTGTACTCGCACTGAATCTAGTGAGGGAAGCAATGATTCGATGGAATTGAACAGTGTTTCGGTGGAAGAAAGAAACGCAGTTGCAAATGAAAGTCGTCTCAAGTGGTCGCTGTAGGTTGACATTGACTAATGCACTCTACCTCATAAGACGCCGTCAAGACGGCGGTCGATTGATTAACAAAGGTGGGATCTTTATCTTGTAACTTCAATTTTTGATGAGTTATCAAAGGTAGCATGTATAATTGGGTGATATTTAAAAATAATAATAATAATAATAAATAAAAATAAATAATAAAAAAAACAAATAGTATGTGGTAATGGTCGTTCCGTTTCTGACATGTCGTTCAATTGGAAATGGTTTATCGATGAGTTGCACTTACGTCTTATGTTTGTATGTTTATTGCAGCGCTTAATCTTCTGATTGTCATTGTAATCGGTCCTTTTTTGGTGTATAAATGAGGTGTCTTGAATAATTTCAACAAATTATTTGTTTATTCTCATTTATTTATATAGTTGTTGAGTTGTGAGTTTTTTTTTTTTTGGAATTGAACAACATTGTTAATTAAGGTACCCTATATTTCTTACTTTACTTTGCATTGGTTGTTTGATCATGACATGGAACTGTCTTTTTGGTACCGATAAGAATAGTTTGATATGGAAGTTTAATGGATTGCTCAAATGATGAAACGTCTATGTCTTTGTTCGTGATAATTTTTACCGATTGAAAATGAGAAATTGATAAATAAGAAATAATTGAAAAGAATTATGGTGATTTAATTTGTTTGAATGTTTGTTGTGATTGTGTGGTGTGGTTTTTTAAACGCTTTTATGTAATATTTGTTTAGCAAGTATCATATGTTGTAAATTTTTTTCTGTGACTGTTAAACACCGCACATTCTTATTTCTATGAACTAAATATGAATTTGTTACCATTCTAAGAGGTCGACAGACATATTTTATATATTTTGATTATCTATTTACTTTTGATGTTTATATTTACCTTATTTGCTTTAATTATTTTTCTCAATAAAATTTAGGTCTCGACAGATGGAAATACGTTTTGTCAATTTATCCATATTATTATTATCTTATATTATTATTTCAATGAGTAAGTGTCACTACATTAGTCCATTTGATCTTTACATTTATCTCATATATCTTGATTACTTTTGTTCAATTTATCCACATTATTATTTTAAAGAGTAGTCATTACTACATAGAATCAATTTGATCTTTACATTTATCTTATGTACTTTGATTAATTTTCACAATAAAATTTAAGCCCCGAAAAATGGAAATGTGTTTAGTAAATTTATGCACATTATTATTATCTCATATTGATATATTAAAGAGTAATCATCATTATATTGAGTCTTTTCAGTTGCAAAGCGGTCATCGTCTTATGATAAAGTCAAGGTTGTGAAAATCGTTCGGCGATTGACAGGCATTAAGCGATTAATCGGACTTACAGGGATTAATCGGCGATTAATTGCGGGCCCTAATTTATTAATAAAATTATTTAAAAAAAATATTATATCCTAAAAAATAAGTATTTAAAATTTTAAATTTTAAAAATTTGAAGTTTTAAAAATTTTAGTATAATATCTTAAAATTTGAAAGCTTAAAAAATTGAAACTTAAAAATTTTGGTGTAATATTTGAAAATTAAAAAAAATGAATTTCTGAGTCTTAATGGACCTTTCTTATTATAGGCCAAAGGTTTAAATATTTTCAGCATATGACTGTCGAGGACCGCCAAGCCTGAGTTTGACCGATTTTGACCAATTTTCGTCAAACATTCTAATCATAATCGGTTTAAGGTCGTCAAGCGATTAATCACCGATTAATTGACCACCAAGGGCGATTTCTGCAACACTAGATAAAGTTGATCATGATTAGTTACCATTTAATAGTAGTCATAATTACATTTTTGTCTTTTCGGTTGTCAAGAGTCTTATGGATTCGAAGAGGTCGACACACATTGTCCCACCCCCAAACCAGACGGCGGAAACGTCCGGGGGTGGAGGACTTCATTTGAAGTATCACAACACATGCATTATAGTAATCAGAGTACAAACAACCACTGTATTTAAAAAATATAAGTATTTACATGTGTTTCATCATTGTATACTGAAACCAAATAGTTATACAAAAGAAGAAGATAAGACACATAAAAGCTCCATCTTCTCAAAAGCTCGGGGAGTACCTGTCTACTAGTTCCCTGAGAATACAAGTAATTTGAAAAGAGAGTATCAACATAAAGTTGAGTGAGTGCATAATTATTTATGTTTGAAAGAATGTTTTCTGTTTCTTGAATATGTAAACTGTTCCAGAAAATCTTATATTTTCTGTTGTATATGAAAAGTAGTTTTAATTACATAAAACTGTTCTATTTGTAAACCAATGTTATGTATTTTTAATCCTTTTGTAAACTTGTATCTGAGAGTGTGCCTGGTTTCATCAACTGTTATTGTAAACTGTAATGTAATACTGTAAATTGTATCTTGTAAACTAGTACTTTGAAAATGTACTTAAGTTTAGTTCATTATACACTAACGTATTGTTAATATCTTTTATATGAGTTATTATAACCATACTAAGACTAGATGGTCTGACCCAACGCATTGAAGGCGTTGAAAGCTGTTGATAACAATTGTCACTCATAGGCGTGTATGTCTGACTGTAGCTAGCAGTCCGAGTGCGGGGTTGTCAATCCCAATATAAATCTATACACACATTGTTTCGATCCCCGGCTGGAGATTCTGGTTATAATGTCAGGACTTTAACTATATTATTTAAATGAATTAAACAACCTGTATCAAATGACTCATAAAAAGCATATAAACGTTACATGTATAATAGTTATGAAAACCCAATCATTCTGAAATAAATGATTGATAGTATGTTCTTGAATTAGTATTCTTAACATGTATCTGAAAGATGTATATCCTTGATTAGTTTTGAATCAAACCTTTGTTCTTGTAAAACAATGTACTTTAGTATACTTGAATCATGAATTAATGTTCTGTGAATCATAAATTATACCTATTATAATTTATATGTACTTTCTGAATTGATACCGAGTATTCATGAATGCAACCCCTTGCTCAACATGTTACAAATGGTATTTGAAACTTAATGAACTAACTTTAATACTTGTATACATATGCAATTATATATAAGTAAGATTTAAATGACACTTGGACAAATAACTGATGCTTATAATCTCACATCCAAACAAGGAAACGGAACCAAAGTGGGTTATCAGTCCTAAGCCTTTTAAATCTTATTTATTTATAAAAATATTTAAAAGAAGTTTAATATTTTGAAATACATTTTGGTGACTTGATGTCATTTTGATATAATCATTGAAAACTATTTGATTTGATGATAACTGAAATCCATTATGATAAGATATTTGAAACCATTTGTTTATAGCACAAAATCCTTGTGTTAGACTTGTATTCCCCCCTTAAAACAGTAAAAACTATGAAAATACGGGGGTATGAACTCACCTGTAGTGAGTGATTCGAGTGAAAGGTCGATATAGGATGCTAAGTGTCAAGTGAAGTCTTGAGCACAAACGGATCCTATTAATCATATAATGACACGTATATGGATATAATTAGTGTATATAACAACTAATTATGATAGGAAACCACTTTAGGGACTAGGAAACACTTGAATTGAAGTGTTACAATCACATGTGATTGCATTAAAGGGGTTTACGGCCACACGAGGGTGTGTATGGCCAAGATGTGTACGGCCAATGTGGTGTACGGCCATTGGGTGTACGGTCATGGAGTGTACGGCCATAGAGTGTACGGTCATAGAGTGTACGGCCGTACACATATGGAAGAAGCATGCAAAACGGGGTGTTTGATCGATGGGGAAACTAGTGTGTCAAATGTACAACAAGAAGATGGACAAAGCTCTCATTTTGGAAGGTCTTGGGGGGTGTACGGCCAATGAACCTATGAAGGGTTCACGACCGTACTCCCTTCAAGATCATGAAGGGATGTTGAATCATGAAGAATCAAGGCTTGAATCTAGTGGTCTTTCAAGTATAACAAAGTACATAAAGAATCACTTACACTTTTGGAGGATTAGGATGAAGAATCTTGATGATACTTGAGAGAGAACCGGTTTTCTTGACTTGAGTGTGTGAGAAAGTGTGAAAAATGAGGGAATAGCTTATATATGGGCATGAGTTTACGGCCATATTGAGTGTACGGCCGTACACTCGTGTGTACGGCCGTACACTCCTCTTGAAGGAGTGTTTGGCTCGAATGTTATACGAAGAACTTAATTTAACTCACCCCTAAACCCAAACCTTGAATGTACTAGGCTTAGAACACTCAAACGGACTCTAAACAATGCTAAAAGATAGCAGAAACGAGTCTGACTTTGATTGAATTGAATGACTGTACGAGATAGAAATTTCGAGTTGTCACAAACATTTTTATATATGTTTATCATTTATTTAGTTTTGATCTTTACATCTACCTTATCTACTTTGATTACTCTGTCAATAAAATTTAGTCCCCGAAAAAATGGAAACTCATGCTCTCACCAAATTGACCAACTACAAAATGTGCTACAACATGCTCCCGACAACGAGAAAAATGTCAAGGAGAAGATCGGGAAGGTTTGTAGTGACGCCAGTGAAAAGTATGAAGGGAAGGATAAATTGTTGGAGGAAATCAAGTATTTATCTGATTCACCTAAGCACTTAAGATTAAAAGTGTTGCTCATTGATCGAAAGAACAAAGATTTGTCAGACAATGAGGATTTTGATGGATGTTCTTATGTCCATTGAAAAGTCGATCAAGGAGCGACATATGTTGCTACAAAGTTAGTTGATATTTATTTTCCCCCCTTTTATTTTAGATTATCATGACAGGGTTTTTGTAATAAAGAATAAATATAATCGAAATTTATATTTTATTTAGACTTTTTTTTTATTTGTTTGATGTGTTCTGGTTTTCTGTTAATATAAGCCATAAATTATGAACAATTTTGTAACTAATAACATTTAACATAAAAACATTTTATTTTAGTTTTAGACTGGCAATTGATAGAAGTTGAAGTTTTGGATACCTAAGATAAGGTTGAAAAGGTTTT